AGCAAGCAGAGTAAATTCTTCTCTGGTTTAAAACTGGCTTCTGGCTTTAGCCGAGGTCAGGGGACCAGAAGCGGAGTAAATTCTTTCCTTCTCAGAATACAACCCCACCCCACCCCCCTTGTACGAAGGTCTGTCTATTACCCTGTCTCTCTACGAGTTGTCCCTTACAAGTAATTCTGCTCCTTTATCTCACCCTTAGTTTTTAAATCATTTTATGTACATGCGGCCCGCTCAATGACATTACGTTTGGTTTACTGTTTTTTTTAATGTTTTGTGTATATTGTTTATTGTATTTATATGTTTTGTACTTTATTGCAGTGTTGTTTATTTTATTGTAATTTGTATTTTATTTTATTGTAATTTGTTGTTTGTGCTTGGCCTCATGTAAGCCGCCCCGAGTCCCCTGTTGGGGGAGATGGTGGTGGGGTACAAATAAAGTTTATTATTATTATTGTTGTTGTTGTTGTTGTTGTTGTTGTTGTTGTTGTTGTTGTTGTTGTTGTTATTATTATTATTATTCATGTTTAAGGATTTCTTGTTTATTGGCTTGACTCTTTGTCTCTTATGATAATATACTCATGCCTTGGATCAACATTTCCCTGTTTTTATGGATTTTATTAGAGAAGCCTGGACTTTGTTTTGAACTTTGCTGAACCATACCTTGGACTAATTTGTTTCTGCTTATCTTCTTACCTAATTGGATTTACCTATTCTCTTAAAGTGTTTTTTTTTTACCATGCTGCTTTTACTCATCTATATCTATATATGTAATAAAAGTCAGTGTTTGTATGTGGGTATGTGAGTATGTGTGTATGTGGCAGCTTTCTGATTAGCACCCACTTCCACAGGCCACTGTGACCTGCACAAGCGACGGACCTGGACAAAACTTGACACATGTTCTGGAACGGCTGTTCCAGGGGCTCCAATTTTGTGCTTTGCACTGAGTGTTTGTTCATAGTCCTAAGTTGCAGGGACTTTGCAGACAGGTGCCTTCCTTTGGCTGCATTTATACGGCAAGCCACCTGTCAATAATAGTTAGGATCCCTGGTCCCGCCCCTCTCTGGTTTTTTGGAGGGAAGGGGCC